TAACATTATTTTTGTTCTGCTGTTGCTGCCCTTTGAAATCCTTACTTAACTCTTCTGAGGTTTGCTTGATTCATTGAATTTTAACCTGGAAATTGTTTTCAAAAACGCTTATTAAAACTCAACGATTTCATGGCTCCAAACAATTTTTCAAGGGGGTAGTACACAAGCCCTAGTATGAATTGTTTAGGGGGTGGGATTAGTAAGCAAACTTGGAGCCCTACGGGAAAAATAGAACTTTATTATTGTTCTGCTGTTGCTGCAATACTTGACTCTTCTGAGGTTTGCTTGATTCATAGAATCCTAACCTCGAAATCGTATTCAAAACCGCTTATTAAAACTCAACGATTTCATGGCTCCAAAAAAAATCAAGGGGGTAGTGCACAAGCCCAGGGTATTTGAATAGTATGTAGCATGACTTGTTTAGGGGGTGGGATTAATAAGCAAGCTTGGAGCCATACGGGAAAAATACGACTTTGTTATTGTTCTGCTATAGCTGCCCTTTCAATTCCTTACTTCTTCTACTACTACGACTACGACTACTACTGACCACTACTACTACCACTACCACTACCACTACGACTACTACTACTACTACGACGACCACCACCACCACCACTACGACTACTGCTACTGCTACTGCTACTCCTACTCCTACTCCTACTCCTACTACTACTACTACTACTACTACTACTACTACTACTACTACTACTACTACTACTACTGTTTGTGGCCGTGATACTCTTCAGACCCCCTGGATTGTTTGCTAGGGGGGTCACTTACTAATTACAGTAAGATCCAACATTAATCTTGTATTTGGGTTCAAGGGGTGCTGCCTCCGGGAGGGATCATACTGATCACACCTCTCACCAGGTGTAAACGGCTCCAAGATGATCCAAGCCAAGCCACTTCAGGCCATACTCCTTCCAGGCCTCCTTTTTCTCCGTCACCGCTGGAGCCTTCTCCGCCACGGCGCGAACATGGCGACGCGGCGCCCTTCTTGCCCCACCGCAGGCGCGGCGACACACGCGGGCTGCGCGCCGGGTTCCCGCGGCCGAGGCGGCCGCGAAGCACGCGCCACCTGCCAAAGACCAAGAAGAAACACATGGAAAAACAGGGTGGTCATAGGTGACCCTCCCAAGACTTCTTCCATATCCGAGCCGCCTGCAAGTGCGGTCGAAGAGGCACTCGGCGCTCGTTGGAGCGGTGTGGCATGACTGCCACTGCTGCCTCAAAGTGCTGTGCAACTTACAGGAGGAGCATTTGGAACGTTATCCTGCCTTGTGTCCGTTACCTGCCTCGACTCGAGGTATCTAGATTCTAGACATGTACCCTCCGAAGTTCTGGTATCAACCCACCGTACTTGCATTGTGCTTCTAACAGCTTGTACTATCAACCTCTTTGAGGCCTAGTCTCAACAGTGAATCAATCCTAAGAAGTAGCTCCGGGAAGGAGCAAACTTCGCGACAAAATAAATAAGCAAGGAGAAGCCATTGGGGTGTATATAGATTCTCTAGATAGGTCGGAGACAGCCAACCTGAGGAACACATCAGAAACTGGACTATTGCACCTTTCAGTGAGTGGACCATGGACACCCTACCGTTTCAATCAGCACAAGACAAAACTTAGAATGGTAGGTTGACTCGGGAATCAATCAAAGAGAAACCAGGCCACCCCAACAAAAGACTCCAGCTTGTCACAGTAGAAAAGGGCGATGAGGCCGGTCATTGCTTTTGCATCCTTAATGTCCCTAAATCTATATGTATATATATATATAGAGGGATCCTGAAACTGCAGCTTTTAACAATTCCCGGGCTGCTATGGCTCGGGAGGCTACTTGGTGTGGCGCTGGGCGCCAGTGCAAAGGCCAACGACATGGCCACAAAACTGGTGCGATTTGAGCCAAGCTCTTGGAGGCCAGCGACTTAGAATGAAGCACATGGGTGAATCAAATCAAATCTGGAAATCAAACCGCATCCTGGGAATCTCAGGGTATTGTTTGATTAGGCTTTGCCCTACGATTACAATGATCAAAGGCCATTGTACAATGCTCGAGTTTGGGTGGTTTCCTCAAGCAGGATGGTCTTCAAGTAGGTGGCGTATCACCCGCAAGGAATCAGGTGGCGTATCGACATAGCTCGAGGTTTTGATACATAGCTCGAGGTTGTACTTTATTGTACAAATTGCAAAAACTGTTTAGTACAAAACCTATCAAGCTAAAACTTTCGTTAAATCGATTGTGTTTTTTTGACCAAATTTTTGTACTAAAGGTTAAATCTATTGCCTGTTCAAGAATATCATTGGCACCTCCATGGTGGTATCCCCAGGGTCGGTGAACACCATGGCATACATGATGTACATCCCAGGCTATGCACTTGAATGGCGAACTGGGAACTACTGTATCGGGCCCCTGGTATTCCTCGGTTATCTCCTGCTTTTTGCCTCTGGGTTTTGGAGATTCAGCCTTCCAACAGTTCTGATAGTAGACGCAGGTTCGTCGAAAGATGCGGCTTTCTTCAATGGATCGTAAGCTTGAGACAAGAACTTCTATACCAAGCAAATAGAGGATATCCAACTTTATTCTTCCCTTGCTAGGACCTATGACCTATTTGTTCCATCAATAGTGAAGTTCATGGTTCACTTACCAGCTGAACCGTTTTATGAGCCTTTGGTTCTAAGGGTATGGAACCAGTGGACTGTCAATTGGATCAAGTCTGAGCCAGACCTTAGTGGATCTGTGCATACAATCTCAAACACACTCATAGCCCTTTGACATCCGAGGTCCTGTGTTCATTATTTCTACTTGGGCGACACAGGCGAAATAAACCGTGGACAAACCATCGCTTGGAATGTGAGCCAGCCACGTGTTGTTGAGTTCTGTTTTACAACTCACAAACCCTTTGAAAAAACTCACAACTCACAAACCCTCTTCACAATTGTGGAACAAATGACGGCATTCGATGTTTTGAACGGGAGAAAGTCGAAAAGTCTTACTATAACGGGATTATGTTGTCTCACCGAATGGACCACACCGGAAAACAGCCACCAACCCATCGAGAGATCCGTCCATGACGGATCAACCGAACCCCACTGACCAAGGGCCACACTGGATGGGATGCCTCAGGAGACGCGTCGGGAGGCACGTCGGACTGGGAGACCTTCCCTTCGAACCTCGTCGGACTCGTTGGGAGGACACCCGTGTCTGGTGAGCGGCTTCTGGTCGCGTTGAGACGGTGAAGACCCGCAGCTATTGCAACTTCTTTCGGAGGAGTTCAATCCGCAGGATCACTTGGTGCGAAATCACTTGGTCAATCAGGTCGTCACACCGTCAGACTGAAGGTCAGTGGTGGCACACAGAATCCAACCGGAGTGCAAAAGACATCCTGAAGCTAATGATATTATGATATCCTCCTACTCCGAGGTGGTTTGCATCGAGTTTTTCCCTTCAACGACCCTTCAACAACTGACTTTCTTTTGTATGTTGTCAAGCGTCACTCCATCTCGAACAGTCTGACTGCACTTCAGCCTATCCAATTCCGCTCTTCCACACCCACACGAAGGGCGTTCAAGTCATCGAAAGTTCACAGTAACGTAACGTTGGCACCGATGGTGCCTAACCCAAACACCTTGGAAATGGCACTTCTCTCTGCCAAACCGGAATCGGAATGTTTCCGAACCATTAAGCAGTTGACTCCCCGTTGGAATAACGGGGAGACCTTGCAATTTCATTTTGTAGCTATATGATGTGGGGGTTCCAGAGTTTTGCACTATAAAGTGCAAGGAGCCAGAAAACACTCACTATAAAATAACACCGCTGAATCACACATATATATTTATATATCATCTTCAAAAAACAGGAAGGTCAAAGTGCACTACAAATTGATGGTCCAACCTGAGGTGTAAAATGAGTAAATGATAAAACCTGGCATTCCATTCTGTAGCGCACTCACTGGTCACTCCAAAAAATGGCAAACAAACGTTGGGTACCGTCATTATATATATATATATTATATACAATTATATATAAGTCACTGCATAAAAATGGCAAGCAAAGGCTGGGTACCGTCATTCTATACAAGTATAATACTTTAACATATTGTAATTGTATATTATTTTATATTATATCTATTTATTCATATATATATATGTATACTCTCCATCCCTCTCTCACTCTCTTCAACGGCTAATCCTTGGAGGTTCGGACCGAAACCTTGAGTTGCGAACGGCCTCAATCGCAGCGTGATGTTTCAGGAGTCCTATTAGCGAGGCCAAGAGCCCCGTTCGTAGCGTCCTTGCTCCTAGTAGCGATGCCCTTGCTCCTAGTAGTAAGGCCAGGAGCGCCTAGTAGCGTCCTTTGTTCCTCTTCGGCATGATGGTGCGTCTGGTGGTGCCCATCAGCGGAGGCAATCGATCACAATCGTGCGACAACCATCGATGCCTCAATCTGAGTGGACAGCTTCAGCATGCTTCAGCGCTAGGACCGCTAGGACCACTTACGGGTCTGCCGCCTTTCCGGGTTTGGTCCGGGATTTGAACGTTGGCACGTCGAACCCAAAGGACGTTCGAAAGGTATCGCCACGATTGAATTTGGACCCTGATACACAGGGCCTTGCCTTTGGCCAAGAAAGTGGACCTAAGGATGTAGCAGCTAGAGAGTGTGTGAGCCGAGATCAAGCCACTGGAATTAGACACTTTAAACATCCTGTCAGGGACAGGCCACAAAATCAATGAGCAAGGTTGATCAAGAGTTCCCCTCTTCATGGGACAACCAATTGGCAACCCCGAGATCTTCCGAGCCTACTTTCCTATCTGGCAACATCTAGGCTACATGTCTTCAAGGGTGGAGTGAATGTAAAAAAACACTTATATATCTACTAGCAATTCTCCTAAGTTGCAGTGGTTTCAGAGTAGATGGCACAATCCCAAAAAAGTCTTTTTATGCGGGTCCTTCTAAACCACCTTTTGGGGATTGTGCCATCTACTCTGAACCCACTGTAAGTTAATTAAGTTATAAACGGTGACCGAATTTCCATGTTAGTCTTCCTATCAGCTGGGTCTCCGGTCCACAGGCTTCCGGTGCAAACGCCGTCGTGCGCTTTCAGCACGCGGTAGTTCTTGCACTTGGCCCAGTCCCAAAACCTCATGGCATACGAGCCTAACGCAAAAGCAGCATACGAGCCCAAATGAAATCCATGGCCAATATTCAATGATATGACAATATGAATGCCATGCACTATTTTCGATGGTGAACTGGAAGGGCAGGGCCGAATTGGAGTTACCTTGCGGAGTTTCCCTAGTTTGGGTCTAGCCCTTGCCCGTCAACTTCAGTGGAACCTCCACTGGACCTTGTGAGTCTGGTCCGGGTGTCAAATGATCAAGAATCGAATAGCCATACCGTGGGCATCCGTGGGCCATGTTCTTACGCCATGTCTCAAACTGCATGGTTAGCCCTCAGCCGATTCGGGAAAGAAAGCATGAGAAGGCGTTTCTTTGTCATGAAACAGCTGAATCGTTCAACCCCTATCGATTATATAACATCGTTTCCAAAAATAATCAATGAACACACATGAAAAAAAAACAAAAACAACACATATACTACTGACATCTACTGACTATATATGCCATTGTATTACTTTGCCAAAAGCACCCGTGGCCGTTACAGCATTTCGGCCTCTGGTCTCAATTCCCATAATTCCCAGGTCAAATGGTTTCCCAGGTCAAAAGCTCGAGTACGTACCCCCTCCCAAAGGCCCTAGACTCTCGCAGTAGGTACCCCCTCCCAGAAGAAACACACCTGGCACACGCCCAGAGTCGTTTGAAGTTTTCTGGGCGTCTCCGGGGACAACACCGCAACCTCCCATGGCGACGACCCGCTACCCCCGACCCGCTACAAGGACCGCCCTCCGCGACTCGCTCCTCCGTGAAAAGCACCGGAATTCGGCTCCGAGGGGCCACAGCCCTTGTTACTATAATAGATTCTTGTTACTAGTAGCAGTATGTAGCAGTCATTTTTTATCTACTAATTTTATAGCGATGCACTTGTTCCTAGTAGCGATGCCCTTAGCTACTAGTAGCTGCTTGTTAGTATGTAGGTACCCTTGGTTGCTACGAGTACTACTCATGCCCCTTGCTCCGAGGGGCCACAGCTTGCCATCCGCGTCGCCGGACATCACCCAGCGGCCATCAGCGGACCATCCGGGCCTCGGGGACGGGGCCGAAGGGACCGGGAGGCCGAAGCGGGCCTCGGTCCGTTGGTCTTCGTGGGTTTAAAGTGAAAGCGGTTTCTTTCGGATGTGGTGTGGATTCCATGGTAGGTTGCAGCACTTGAAGAGTGTTGTGAGATGTGACAGTATGTGGCATACCTCGACTGAAGGACAATAGGCGTCCTTTCTGGGGAGCTGCTGGGCCTGGGGTGCGTTTCTGTGCACCAAAACGGAGGGGTCCAGTTGCTATGGCTCGGATTCCATGAAAGGTCCATGCGAACGCTACGAATGGAGCAAGGAAGCTACGAACGCGGCTCGTGGCCTTACTACTAGTAACAAGAAGCTATGAAAATGATTCCGAGGTTTGGCGTTCTCGTGGGGTTCTCGTCTGGGAATGCCCCTCTAAACGACAAATCCATTTCATGAGTGTCCCACAAGAGGCTCTCCACACATTCTCATGGTTGTAGGCTAGTAGGATGGTGTAGGTTCTGTCCCATATATGAAAACCACACACGATGTCATGCTGCTTTCATGTGGAGGCCGTCAATTTATCTACTGGAGAGGGATTGGATCAATCAACAATGTTGATTGCCGCTGGTGTTTTGACTTGGTTTCAGGATGACAGTCCGAACTTGAAGATCCTGAAGGTGCTTTGAGATTTCACCAGGATCCCCACATGGACGTCACATGGACCCCTCCATAAATAGGTTGAACTATATAGGATGTTGCTACATGCCGCCAATACAGCCGGGGCGCGTGATGGCGTAGCCAGCATTGATGTGGCCCTGAGCTGTCAGTGGCGACAACTTGACATTAAAAGGAGTCTGGGCATGGATAAGGGACACCGTCTTTAGTCGGGGTTCTGAGATTTTGGTGTACAAGTCCAAGAATCAGCACCGGCGACATAGAGTATACTTACTGCAGGTAACTACCCCAACCTCCCTATACACGAAAGCCACATAAAGCTACATGTTGCGCCTGCATCCCGTTTGGATCAATTTGGAAGGGTAGGGAGAGCTACAATTCCTAACGAGGCTCTTCAACCTGTTGGGGAGAGCCACCTGGATCCAATGGCCAGTCAGATGAGCTTGCCTAGTATGTCAGCCCAGGTGCATGGATGTCCAAGTCTTGCAGGTCATAACCATCACAGTCTTCCAAGGACCTAAAGGACCCATAGATACTCCATGAAACTCCCAGAACTTGAGAACTTGGAACAGTCCAAGATTTCAGTTCTTCGAGGCTAAACAGCTAAAACTGGTCGTGTCAAAGGACATGCTTGTAGGGTACCGGGTCCTACTCAAATGACAGGTAGCCCTGGTAGCTTGAATTGATGGATCCCGGTCTACATGAGCAGTAGAACTGGATCTTCACAACTGCATGTGTTACTCTGCCACACAAAGGGGCCGTGCCATTCACTTCCATGCCTGCGTGCCTTCGTCCGAGGATACACCATCGGTCGCTGATTTGAACCACACACCAGTCACACATCCTGCCTTGAAGGTCTTTCGCGCGATGAACTTGAATCGCCCAAAGGCCTGTCGAGGGAAAAGAGAAGGAACATCGTGGATGGAGTGGTATGAAGATGTAGGAAGCGTGGCTACCAATGGCCCACCCTAAATGTCACTTTGCCGAGAAGCAAATGTTTCAAGCATGTCCACATAGGTCTTGGGCTGATGAAATTGTCTGCTTGCTGGGACAGGACAAGCCACAATATAAGGAACCAGAATCCTGGCTCTATATTCTATATATCTTTGATTTGTCCGTGTCACTGGGGACCAGTTTCAAATTTACAGCGAGTTCCTTCTTCTGTTGCCCATAGAAACAAACATACAAGAATATGGAATGATTGCAAACCAAACAAGTTGTATGTCTGAACTTCGTCCCACGAACTTCGAAGTGGATGACCACTTTCAATGGAACCAGGGACACTCTAGCTTGGGCTCAGGTAGAAACAGTGCCAAATCAAACCTGTCAAACCTGTCCATCAGACTCAGAGACTGAGAATACACGCGCAAGTTCGCCAACCAAGTGTTAAAACATCATAAAACCCACGCGACCTGGAGCAAGGCACTTCTCAGCACGGGCAAACTTTTGGGGAACCCACTTCGTTCATCTTCGTTCACCCTTTGTACCCCTGAACTTAGCCACTCTTTTCAGGGAGTCCTGGCGTACCTCACTTCCTGTCCCACTCTTGTGCACTTGAGACACCACCTCCTCACAGATCAGACCTGTGTATGCTCGATTCAGGGTCAGGTTGATTCACCCATAGGTCTAGTAGAAGTTTAACACATAATTAGAGAGCTAAGTAAGGGAAGTCCACAACGCAGTAATAACATATCCGGACACAAAGGGGTGAAGACACCCTGCTATTCACTCAATCCTCTGTGTTTGGCATCTTCCCAAATCCTTTGACTGTAGCTCTGTAGTGAATGCTTTAATATCTTGACAAATTAAATAGTCATGCTTACATAACAATATTTGTCAAGCTTACATCACAGTATGCACATACTGCCACCCAATAATATGCAGCATGATACGCACGGAAAGGATTCCTTTCCTGAGCAAACTTTGAGGAAAAAACAGGATAAAATGGGGGCTCACACATACGTCAAAGTGTTCAAGAGAAACAATGGAACAAACGGGCAAGCAAATGCAAACAATATTGCACAGCCATATAAGTACATATATATACAATATGTATTATACTATACTATACAATATATATATATATGTGTCTGCTCTCTTCGATCTTTTGGATCGCCAAGT